GTATTCTAGCTGTTTACAAATCACTTTCTTTTGTACTTAACTTATTTATAAAGATATCATTCTATTAGATTTTAAGAATATATTTTCAAAGCTGCAGTCAAAAAAAAAAAAATTATTTGCCTACCTACCTACCCATTTGGAGATTTTTGGGTTGGGTTAGGGGAAACAAGGATATTTTTAATGATGGCCTAATGTTTAATTTATCACAGTCATACAGTTTAAGGCTTAACAGCCAAGGCTTAAACTTGTTAACAAATAGAGATCGAGACAAGTAAAACAAATACAGAGACAAGTCAAGTAGAACAAAAGAACCTTATTTTAATTTGGTTACAAGAAAATTACCTTTTCTAGACCAGTTAAAATTGACTGACACTCATCTTCTGAGACCAGACCTACTCTTTGGATGGCTCTAACATAAGCCTTGCTCCCCTGAAATTTAAGTTAGAGTTCCCTTGAATATATATATATATATATATATATATATATATATATATATATATATATATATATATATATATATACATACATATATATATATATATATATATATATATATATATATATATATATATATATATATATATATATATTAGGTATGTCAAATCGGTCAATTTTTGATAATCGGTTACTCGGACGTTTTTCCGATTGAGTACCTGGGTACTCGGTACATGTAAAAAAGTAAATACAAGTGTGTTAATTTTCTTGAGTCACGTTAAGCTCTGTTAAACCCCAAAGCTGTTTTTATCACGTTTATAAATGTATATAAACATCTAGTCCAATGGATTTGATTTTTTGGTACTAAATTTATTTATCAAATAAACACAAATGACACAATTAATACATCAAAAATTAAAAAAAAATCTGTTACGCAGGTTTGTGATGATTAGACTAGCGACAGGGAGGGAACGGCCATCGTTGGGATTGCTAGTTCAAGGTGGTTGTTTCCCCCCGTATAAATTTACTATACACAAACTACCTTTCAACATTATTTTGAATCTTTATTTATTTCTAAATATTTCTTCACTTCTGAAGTGGGTAGCGGCATTTCTATGCATGTCCGATTTCGCTGCAATATATTAACTAAATAATTTTAAAATGGTTTGAAGATAATAGACCATACTTAATCGAATCATTCAAGCCATCCAAAAATTAAGGACCACAATAGGGAGAACAGCTGTGTACCAGGTGATTGGTCACTAATTACTGTTTATACACAGCCACGGCGATAACGGTTTTTTTTTACAGGTGTAAATGATGACGCGCTAATAACCGTTTGCAGTTTTAAGTTATTTTTTTAAATATTTTTTTTTTTAAAGAAAATATGTAGTTTAAAATAAGAAAAAATACATTTCCGAGTAACCGAGTACCATTTTTAGTATTTGATACTCGGACGTTCGATCGAGTACCCGGTTAACCGGGTACTCGTTGACATCCCTAATATATATATATATATATATATATATATATATATATATATATATATATATAATATACTCTCCAAATGCTTGGGTGGGGTGGGGTGGGGGGGTCACTTACCTGCAGATCTTCTCGCCACATTCGCTTATCGATTTGAATAGAAGCATTAAATTTCTCCATAACAGGATCAGTAGCACCAGTAAATCGACCTCCCCACAGCTTCTGCTTCTAAAAAGTAAAATCTTATCAAAATAAACATTCATAAAAATCATTTTCCCAAATTACGGTATCCCGAAAAAATTGATTACCTCCATAGTTTGATTTGGCGCTAACACGTCAACTGTGATATATACCCTGCAGTCAGTCTTTTGCAAGCTGATCCAGTGCGAATCGTCAAAGAAGCTCGGGCATTTACACTTGCTTTGCAAAAAATCGACTAAGCGACTGAGGCAAACGCAGTATCAATTTCTAGGCACATTGTTTACATCACGTGATACAAATAGCACAAAATAATAAAAGGCGGAATTAATTGAAAAATAGATAATTTAGCTTTTTTATTTGAAAAAGCATTATATAGCAAATTTATTTTGAAAATTATTAGAACTAAAACTGGGGGAATAATTATGGTGGTATATTTCTACCACAAGTTGTCAGACGTTTACGTCGACTTCTCACGAATGTGTTTATATGTTGACTTGTCAGATATTTATGTGAACTGAACCGACAGATCTTGTCAATTTTCATGAATAGGAACTCAGTATCTTGTCATGCAAGAGCTTAATGCCACTAAACTATATTTACTTGTCATAATATATGACAAGTCGACATAAATGTCCAGAAGTACACTTTATAATCAGATGAAAAGATCTCATTTTCTGACAAGTAGACATAATTTTCTGACAAATCGACAACATTTTCGGACAAATCATAATTATCTGGCAAGTCGTCGTATTTATCTGACAACTCGACATACTATATAGTCATTTCTGACAAGTCGGCATAATTATCTGGCAAGGTCACCGGCATAATTTTCTGAAGTCGACTTGTCACCTAGATATTATGTAGACTTGTCAAATAATGATGTCGACTTGGGTGTTACGTTAACTGTATGTCGACTTGTCAGATAATATAGAGAATAATACATGGCAAAATCTGTATCACACCTCATATCAACCCGAGACTCCAATATCAGCCCGAGGGCCGAAGGCCAGAGGGCTGATATTGGTCGAGGGTTGATATGGGGTGTGATACAGATTTCGTCATGTATTGTTGTTTTTATTATGTATTTGAAAATAGTGTCTAAAAATCATATATAAACTTGTTACTGAATTTTTAATAATTGAATGTGTTCTGTTCTTGTTGAATTTCCGTTTCTCAATCTTTTTTAAAGGGAAATAAATGCATTCAGCGATACGAAATGAAATTATTATAAATCAAACAAATAATTATTTTGAATAACATAATATGTCTGATGAAATAAAATTACAATTTGAATAAACTTTGGAAAGAAATAGGAAAAGATCCGAGGTACTCCGAATGAAAAATACAGAGATGTTCCGGAAAGGTGTAATAAAGGGTGTGATAAAGGGTAAAATAAAGGGTGCTGATACAGGGTGTGTAATACAGGGCGCGTGCCTGTGTTCATATCAGGGATGCAAAAAACCTGTATTATATAACAAATATATAATAAAATATCTTCTTGTCAGGTATTTTTGATAACTTGCTAGACATGGGAAGAAATTCTGTGGATTTTCTCCGGTGTTGCTTTAGACTGAATTCAATCAAAGCGCAATTAACGCTAATCTTTATATTACCCATGAGAGTGATGCGAGACAAATGATGGCAGCACTGTTGAGGGAAGGATCCAACATTTTTTTCAGATTTAAAATTAAAGCTTTAAAAGAACAATATAATATAAGGCCTTTCATTGGAGGGGGGGGGGGGCGTGATTACAATTTCCTACGTGCTCAATAATAATAACGAGTTTAAAATGAAACATATAATTATAGAAAATAAACGAGTAAACGATAACAAATTAAAATAAAAAGGAAATTAAATTCCATGTTTGGGTTTGTAACCTTTTTTTTTTTTTTTCTTCTAGAAAGTATAAGCGTAGTAGTGCCATATAAAAACACAGGTTTTTTCATAAATATGTCTTCGGATGTATACGGGGTGGAATGGGCTGATTTTAGGGCATAGATGGGAAGGAGAGTGTCTGGGGGAAAAGAATTAAAATTTCAAACATTGAGAAATATTGCCTTTGAATGCGTAGTAGGAAGGGTGTAAATAGGCCATGTTTACCTTCTTCTCAAGGGGTAAGTTAAATATGCAGGGTATGGGGTAACTCACGGTGTCTTAGAGGGACTTGTACACTATAGATTCTCCTTAGATTTAAAAATATTTTAAGGCTATAATAAAGAAGAAATCGCTAATTTTCAAGATAAATTTAATTAATTCTAAATAAAATTTAAATAAATTCCACATGCAAAAAGGTAGAAGAACGCGTGGTAGCAAAATCATATTGAACATATTAAAGGAAATAAATGCTATAATTATCAATGACATCCGAGGAAAATATTTGTAAAAGTATTTTTTTTAGATCCACCTCTACAAGATTCTGCCATAAATTGTCTCGAATCACTCTTAGGGGAATATCGGTGATTAGCGTTAATAGCACTTGTATTGAGTTCAGCTCATAGCTAAACCGGACGGGATTTCTTGGGATGAAGTTATGTCATATGTCAGATCTTTATGTCGACTTGTCGGATCCTTGACTTGTCAGAAATTTATGTTGTCAACTGGATGACATAAACTAAGCATGGGCACGTTTTCATGTTGAATTTCTTAACACTTGAATAAGTGATGACAAGTCTACAAAAAAGATCTGACAACTCGACATAATTATCTGACAGGTCGATATATAAACATTTGGCAAGTGAAATGTTGGCAGAAAATTGCCACCCTTTATAATAAGCTATAGTTCTTGATTTCTTTACCGTATATAGAAAGTCTGTGTTTATTTTCCTCATATAATACAGTTTCTGGCAATAAACTAGTATAGTTTGATGCAGAACTTTCAGTGTCATAGAAAAAATATTTCGGGGTAGTGTATCAAATACCAAAAATGCTGTCGTGTTTTACATATCCATGCTATTTTGACCGATGACAATATAATTATTTGACAGTTTATCTGCCCACTCTTCCTGAGCTGAACGATCAAGGTTTGGTTGACTTGGTTACTCAATGAATTGGCTGCATAAACTTCAGGAGCCATTTTAATTATAGAAGGTGCAGTGTAACTAAGGGGTACTTGAATTAAGGTCCTTAATTATCGCTAGTATACTGATCGGAGGGTTATTTTCTGTTACTTCAGTAAAAATGATTTTCTCTGAGATATATTAGGTAAGAGAGTTATACAATATTTCATGTTATTTTTTTACAACAATGATAACTATGTCTGCATAGAGATGCATGCTTGTGCAATTAAAAATCCGTAATATCCGATCGGATTTTTAAGTTTTTTTTATCCATTTTTAAACCTGTTCGCATGAAGAGTTTTCTGGATTCAGACCTGTGACGTAATTTTGAGGCATTGGAGATTGTATTCATTGGGGAAGGTTAACGTGAATTTATACCGTTTAAATTGAGATAAAAAGGAACTTAAAATGTTGATGGATGTGTTGTGAGAACAAGACATATTTTTACACGTTAACATTTGTAGCACAGTTAATGTAAGTATCTATTTCTTAAAGAAGAGGCAATATTTAACCCAGTCAACTTCTTTCGATTCTGACAATATAAAGTCGCAAACATCCTTTGCTGATGATATTTTTTATACACCCTGACAAGTTTATTGTCATGGAGACAGTGTTTGTCATGTTCGTCTTTCAGTTTCTCTTTAAATTGTGGATCCATGATTTTGTCGGGGAGGGGGGGGGGGGCAGGCTTAAATACGTTTAGATGGCAAGGGGTCTGCAGACCACTGAAGTGACAAAAGTCCCCAGCGGGTCCAGGGTAGTGCCTGTTTGGTTTCGGAGGAACCATCCAGACTTCTTAGACTATCAACAATCAGGGAACTTTAATTTGATTAGGGGTGCAACGATACACCAACCTCACGATACGATACGTATCACGGTATTCAGTTCACGATACGATACGTATCACGATACATGACAAGGTTAAGTCTTTCAAGTCTGTCATCATACTTTTTGAAACTTGACAGGGTTATATCGAATGTTCATATTTTTCAATAATAATTAAAGTATCATTTTGTTAACTTGATTTGGATTGATAGGTAGATCTTTGAGTTGTGACAATATTCTAAACCAATGATGAACATTTACAGGGAACTACGGGGCCCTTTCCTAATAATCTTCCTTTTAAATTGGAATGAAAAGGAAGACTTCATTCTTTTATTCCTTTTATTCATGTAGAAAACCAGTTGTCATTTCTCGTGTTAACAGCTTTTAGTCAACAAGACAGCGAATTTTCATCGAAATACATGTGTGTATATTACTATAAAATACGTTTAGATCTAAAGGGCTTATCACTTGCCTTAAAATCTATGAGCAATGAGATAAAGTCCTTCACCATGTAAAATCTGAGGTCTGTAAGATGCTGGAGATGAGTTTAACTGCCGTTAAGGCGTTATCGTCGATCTCATGTTTTGCAAGGAAGCCATTTTGAAATTGTTAACAAGGAAACAAAACGGACGATTTGGATAATTCTGGACCGATTGAACCGAACCGCGATATCAGTGTTGCGTATCGTGAATTGAACCGCGGAAAAATATACCGCGATATACCGTCAAACGGTTTATCATTGCACTCTTAAATTTGATACAAAACAATCTAATTAAAATTAGATGTTCCGAATCCGCTACCGCTTCTCAAACATCTAACAACATCCCATTAGGGGTCACGTCAGAGCGACCTTTCGATTATGAATAAACATAAAAATTTTGGCCAATCAGATTCAACCTTCTGTATACATTCTAAAATTAGTTCCACGGCTACATCTTTACATTATTGATGCCCAGTAGACTGTTTTACGTTGAATTAAAGTAATTTTGGTATAAATTGAACATATAGTCCGCCAATCTGGCATTCTTACCTGAATAATGCAAACGAAAATGCACGAACTACATGTATACGTCTATATTATGAGTATATATCCCGCACGTCACATTCATATTTACCATGCATATTTGTTTACTACGAAACCCCTCGGGCGTTTAGATTTGGCAGTAAAAAAAAACGCATCCGAACTATAAGCCAAGATTTCAGAGACGGCGATTTCATTGGGTAATCGAAAGGTCGCTCTGACGTGACCCCTAATGGGATGTTGTTAGATGTTTGAGAAGCGGTAGCGGATTCGGAACATCTAATTTTAATTAGATTGGATACAAAAGGACTGTAATTTTACCCTTAATATGTTGACGGTGTGACCGTTAGGGTGAGCCCAGATGGATACCTATATTCAGTGTTTAAACTAAAATTCAGATCCGCCTCTTCAAACCTCATGAGACGTCTTAAACTCTGACAGTACATAATATCGTATAAGTTACAATACCATAATAAAGCGCTTAGCGCCGCTTGCTGCACTCACTATAATTTATTACATCATTGTATGACTGTCACATTAGAATGTCTGAATGTTTATAGAATGAATAATAAGCAGGGCTTGAAATAATTATTTCTTTCTTTGGTCACTCAGACTATCAACTCAAAATTTTATTGGTTAATTGATAACTTTCACTGTACCATTTGGTTAGCAGGTATAAACTATAGCCCTAAACCAGTGCTTAAATAAGGGCACCAGAAGAGGGAGAATCCCCTCACAAAAGAGCACACTGATCCCAATATGAATTATTGCTTGCGTAACTTCTGTTACGCATGCCCTGGCTCACTAACCATAGGCACACAAGCGATGTTACTATATACACAACAACATTGTTGCGAGGGGGAAAAATCAGACTACATTTAATGTAACCCAGTGTTTATTTTCCAATTTTTATAACCAACTGTTTAAAAAAATCATATTTCTTCACTGTTGAATCTTGATTCTTAATCACCTCTATTAGTGCCACTTTCAGATTCTGCTTAGCCCTTGTTTACTGCACATTTTTCTTGTTTTTATTGTATCTTGTTCCACCATGGTGAAACAGCATTTAGAGAACATTACAATGTTTAAGAATATACTCCTCAAGAAAATTTGGTTCTAGAAATATTCATGATATTGAATTAACATTGCGTTATTTTATAGTATGTCCTAACAAAACAAAAAAATTTCGCATCCAAATAGAACATGGACACACAAGCCTGTCTAGTTAACTAACCAGACTGTGAATTGATTGTGATATGCATAAAATAATCACTGGTCCCAAGGGCACATGCTTTCTACAAAGCACTAGCCTAAATCCAAAATTACTAGAACCAGACCAGCGGGCCATCAGCCGAGACTTGATAAGTCACGGAGAAAACATTTGGGGGGGGGGGGGGGGGGGTATGCATGTGCATTGTGCATTAAGTAATTGAATCAGTTTTAAAGAATTGTTTTAAAGGAAAATTATCAAACTTCATGAACAGGAACAAATTATTGATGAGAGCAGCACACTACATCAAAATGATACCATTCATTTTTCATGTGACCAGGATAGATTGTATTGATGGGCTAGGGTGGAAAGAGGTTCAACATTTTTTATGGGAATAATGAAGGAAAAATACCTTAATTTTGAAAATGAAGGAGACTTGGGTAAGCATTGTGGCCCATGGGCCTTTTGTTGGGCATGGTGAATCATGCAGAATGTGATCACAGATCATCTGGTGAGAGAATCTGAATTTTGTTTCTTATTGGTCAAAATAATTGGTCTTTCCTATTTGGAAAAATAATTTATAGAGAAACTTTTCACATCCTTCATAGACTGCTCTGTCAATATGATATATATAGTAGTGACAGAGATATTCTAAACAACACTAGTCATTCACAGCTTAACATTAAAAATGTTAAATCGGTGCTTTATAGAAAACTGATATGTGTGATGATACCGGTAAAGAGAACCTTACATTTCAAAATAACCAGAAATTATTGATATAATTTCATTGTAGATCTTAATATGATAAATATTTTTGCCAATTAATAATTTATCATACATACTAACTTGCTAAAAATTTATCAACAATGCATTAAAGAGTTCAGGTGAAGTACTGTTCTATTAATTCTAAACATGCTGAAAGTAAACAAGTTGATATTAGTTTATTTTGACAAATATGCCCAAGTTTCTTTTTTTTTATTTATGTAAATCAGTATTAAAATCATTAAAAAACAGGAATATTGTAATCACTTTGTCATTGGGAAACACCTGTTGTAATTATTACATTAAAAATATATTGTGAAATCTCCTTCCTATTGTTAATTAAATTCTCAAGTGTTTTGTGTCATTGTATGTATACCTATAAACAAGTTAACATTCTATTAACATTATATACTATGAATGTTTTTGTTGCTCCTGTGTGAGTTATGATAAAAGAATTCTTGTTCTAAGACATATTACAATGTTTTTGCTCTGAGTATGACTTAACAGTATAAGGAACAAAGACAGAAGTAAGTCATGTGCACTGTTTGTTTAAAATGTTAAAGAACTGATTTCTTATCCCTAGAGGTTTTGTCGATCCAACAGACTATTTAATAAACACATCTGACTTCAGCTCCTGAGCCTTGGCCAATAAATTTTTTAAACTCCTTTGTACACATAAATTTTCAAAGAATTCAAATTTTAGAATACCCGGTACATGAAGAACACATTTATTTGTAATGACTAAACTTAAAAATCTTCTGAAACTCCCTATGATACAAAACGAAACCCCACGTGCCCCTTTACATGGTGATGTTAGTACATGTACAGATTTTGTATTTGATGCATCATGCACACATATTAATATTTCCCTCAATAAATTGTTAATACTTATAAAATACTTATTTGCTTTAGAGAGTTTACAATCATTGTTTTCAATAGTGAAGAGTACTTTTAAACTTAAAGATAAACTTAAAAATTATGATGGAATATCATAGTCCCACAATAAAGGAATTAATACAATTTTTACCTAGGAATATATATATCTAAAATATCTTAAGAAAAATGAAAAGAGACACACAGCTTGGAACACCTTTAACAGATACTGTGTTAAAATTTGCAGTGTTTAGTTTGAAAAATTATGAATGAATACATGCAGTGATAAAGCGGATACATATTGAAGTTGTTAATGTAATTGGTATAGTTAATAGGACGTGTGTTCATGATGTTTATTCAATGGTCTGATGGCAGTCTTTATCTATAAAAGGCAGATGTCAGTTATACTCAGATAAGTAAGTCTGACATGCAGTAATTATAGCTAGGAAGCTGAAGAAGTAGCCAAGAATCAGAAGAAAAAATCAATGTTAATACTGCCTCGGTAATGTCCTGTATTAGGTTGTTAAGACCCTTCAAGACAGGTGCAGTGAAAAACTTCGAAGTTGTCATGGTAACATTAACATTTTACAGTTGACAAATACCATAAATGACAGGTTTTGTCATTAAATCTGCATGGCCTTGATTAGAATTTTTATCTTGCAGAATATTCAATCCCTCTTTAGTTATTGACCAGGGGTTAAGTGATTTTAAGGATTTCTAATTAAGAGATGCATCATTAATTAAGTGTTATGCGATTCTTAACAGGTTTTATTCATCTGACAAACATAATTCTGAAATTTGATATTACTTTAAATATAATTTTTTTGTACAATTTTTATACATGCAGGCCTAGTTCAGTCATGAAAAACATGAAAGGTGAAAAGTTTCAGCTTATTTTTCTTTATGAATTAATCTGAACTGTCTCTTACTATAATAATTCTATTTGTTATTCATGATTTGCATGAAAAGGTTTTTTTAACCACCTTGCTTTCAGTTAAATTTTTATTCTATTTTCTCATTTATGCCTTGTTTCCATTCCTCTTAAGAAAATGCATGCACCAATAATTGCTACAATGTACCTGTGTATATTTTTATGATGGAAATTTGCTCTTTTTAATCTTTGATCCACCCCCTTGGTGTCTGCTTTATCGTTAAGTTTTCTTATGTAAACACAGGTAACAACTGTCTGAATGGGACAGGGAGCCAGTTTAATACGTAATGACATTCACACGACTCATGTTTACACCACTTCACAGCGAAACAACACCAACTTAGCTGGTAATAACCAGGATAGACCAACATCACCAGAAATGGTCTGTGAGTCTTGTAGTGCCAGCTTCAACATCTTCAACAGGAAGGTCAGTTTGGGGAGTTTAATTTGTTAAGGAAACTTCTAGTTTCTTTTTAAAGCAGGAAGTTTGTGAGATAATATTGAATTACACAAACTTTCAAATTGATAGATAGATATGTTTACATACTTCTACATTTCTCCTTTGTCACAACTGTTGTCACTGTTTCAGGCATTTTTTGGTTTTAAAATTTGTAGTTTCATGAGTTGTTGATCTAATACAAAAAAATAATTTAGAAAATCATGCATTTTGTCAATATCATAATTAACCAGAATTAAATGAAATGGAAAACTATATGAAATACAAACGTCTTGTTCTATTAACAAGGCCCAATCTAGTTGGAATTTACGAAAATGAAATTACGGTACGAAAATGGGCCGGCAAATATTTTTGAATTTTAGATATAATATTTGCATGTATGTACCATGCTAATGGTCAATTAAAATCACTCAAAGGGTATATTTTATGTCTATGGCCTAAAAGTTGAGGTGCATGCAATACATATAAATACAATATTGAATGTAACATTTGAAGAATTGGTAAAATTTTGCTATGCAACAATATGACATGAGTATAGTTTTATTGAAGATATCACCCATATAAATGTCACATACACACTCCTTTGGTTTACTTCCCCACGAGGAAGTTTTCAAGCAGTGCACATAAGATTAGACTTGTTTAAGTATCTCACTTGTTATCATTAATATCAAAGGGAAATGTTGCATACTTATACATGTACTAAGAATTTGACTGCATCACATTCCAAAACAACAGTTAATAAATATACTTTAGAATGACTAGTGTGAAAAGAAGGAAATCACAGTTAACCTTACAAAGAATATTAACAAATATATTGATTGATATCATACAGAAAAGTATCAATAAGTACAGGTAGTTTTGTACATGTTGTTTACTCGTGGCTGAAAAGGAGGAATGTATGTATATTGTATTTACAACCATACATCACAACACAAGTAATCCATGTCTGATGATGATCTTTCTATAAATAGAGGTGACATCATCTAACTTAAGGATGTTTATATTAAAGATATACATGTCTTTCACCCTAAAAAAATCATCATTTGATCTCTTCTTAGTAAATATTCTTTAATTCATTATTAGTTAATTTTTTGCCCTGGCATGATTATGATGGCATATTTTAAAGTGTTTGTAATTAAGGAGGAATGCTACTCCAAAATTTAATTTAATGGATCTTAAGACATTTCTTTTGAAATTTGGTTTTAGCATGGAAAGATTGATCGTAGCTCCAAATTATTGTTATGAACATGATCTCAAGTCCTTCCTCAGTTTGGAATTAGCTAAGTTTCCAAGAAACTGTTCAAGATATATATATTCTGATGTATTGCGAGAATAATTTTCTGACCTTTCTCTTGACATTGACCTCACAATTTCTCATTTTATGTTTACCTTAGTTTCAGGGACACTGTTTAAGATATTCTCATCAAACTTCATACACTGATACAAATCGCCAATTAATGAAAGTGATTCAACTTTGTCGTAATTTTCTAACCTTAACCTTTCTTATATCCTTGACATCACTATTCCTTGTTTTGCATTTACTTTAGTTTCAAAGAAACCAGTCAAAAATTCATCAAGTTTCATGCTTTAGTACAAATTGATGAGAACAAATTCAACCATAATTTTCTGACCTTGACTTTCTTTATGACATCAAGATCTTTCTATCAAATTTCATACAGAGGAAGAGAGACTGTCATAACTTTCTGACCTTGACTCTTGTTATGAACTTCACCTTCTTATGACCTTTTTTTGTTTGAAGTCTGATTTAAAGATTTTTTAAATCAAACTTCATCCAAAGAAGTAAGAAGTATCAATGAGAGCAATTCAACTATGTCATTATTTTCTAACCTTGAACCTTCCTTTGTCCTTGACCTCACTTCTTTTTTTGCATTTACCTCAGTTTCAAAGAAACTGTTCATAATATTTCTTTTAACTTCATACACTGATACAAATTGGTGTGAATCATTCAACTGTTTCTGTTATTTGATTCTGATCCTTTCTGACCTTGAACCTCACATTTTGTATAGATTGTATCTTTTTGAATTCCGTGTAGGATTAGATCATTCAACTTCATACACAGATATCTATTAGAGCATTCCATTTATACCTACCTGAGATTTCATACATATATTTGCTACATTTGAGAATAAAAATGAAACATTGTGACTTCATTTAGCTGTTAACCAGACTAAGGATGAATCAACACTTCTACCATTTTACAAAATGCAACAACTGTAAGTTCTCTATATGGAAAAAATGGGTCTTAGTACAGATATATTTTATGACATAAACCCAAATGAATTGGGATTAGAGTTAAAATCACATGATCATACAGTCCCAAGTTTATGTGGAGGCAGAGAATGGCAACGAAGATGTACTTTCATCAATTTTCTTTTTTTGTACGTTATACGTATCTAATAAAGCAATTGATCCATTAAATCTTTTATTTTATGGTGAATTTGTAGAAACTATGTAAGGACTGTGGACGCTACTTCTGTGCAAATTGTGTGATGCAACTACAACAAAATGTAAAAAGATCACATCGTCAGTGCAAAAAGTGCAACATTCTGACCACAGGCAACTTCACAAGACAGGACCTCCAGAAATGGAAGGTGAAGGATCTCCGGTCAGTGCTCAACAAGCGGAACATCTCCACTGAAGCGTGTACAGAGAAGCATGACCTAATTGACCTCTTAGTCATCACATTTGGTGTGGTCAGTCAGGGTAACTCAGGAGATAGGTCTTCCAGTACAGCCCAAACCACAGTAAGTAAAGCAATCAGTTACGGCGCCATAGTCAAATCATTCCTCAGAACTTAACTTATGAAAATGTTCAGGAAGGTTTACATTTTGGCTTACCTGAGCAAGAAGGTTCAAAATTGCTCTCTGATCAAAGTTTGTCGAGCATATATATCATCCATCTATATGTGAATTCAATAAAGTAAAGACACACTGAAACATTTTCCTGAAAAATAGAAAGCCTACTTTGCAGAATCAGGAGATATGTAAAGGTTATTTTACCTCATGCAAACAAAGTTTTGGGGATATTGTGTAATGACTAATTATACCCCTGCTTCGAAGGAGAGGGGGGTTTACTGTTTTACCCTTGTCTGTGTGTCCATCCGTAACAAATTTTCGTCACAGTTTTCCCAGCAACTACTCATGGCAGATGCTTGAAATTTTAGCACAATCTTTGTTTAGGCATGCCATATGGAGGGATTTATTTTTGTTTGAATCCGATGTCAACTTCCTGTTCGTTTGTGCGTCTGTTCGTAATAAATTTCGTCGCAGTTTTCTCAGCAACAACTCATTGCAGATGCTTGAAATTTAAGCACAATCTTTGTTTAGACATGCAAATGGTTGGATTCATTTGTGTATGAATTTGATGTCAACATGAGAGTGTATACTCTCATCAGAGCAGGGGTATTACTAGTGAGCATTCACTCACAGACTTCTTGTTTTTGTGGGGGTTAAATTTTCAATTTTTTTTGTGGTCCATGAATTCATCTGTATCCTCCATGAAATTTCAAACCTTGGCTGTCCATCTGACTGTCTGCCTGTACAATTGTGTTCTGACCAAAATTTCATCATAAAGAAACATAAGAAGCTCATATTTGACAAAGATTGTCTCTTACCTGAGGGTGTGTGGTAATCTTGACTCAAGGTCATTTGGCAAGTTTTGGGTCACTGGCAGAAAAAGTGTAGAATTTGTATCTGGTTTATAACTTTTTATTAAATGGATAAACATTTTAACAATGTTGGGTTGTCTTTCCCAGATTACAATAACTGGTAACCGTGGTGACTTACAAGAGCAAGGTTCCACATCATCAAGCAGTAGTGAGCAATCTCCGTCACCGCAAGGAGTTCCTGCTGCATCCTGGACTGCCGCAAGCTCTGTCCCACCCAACAATCAACAGCGATCTCAATCCCTCCAGGAACCTCAGGCACCACATGTGGTAAGTGTATTTTATAATTAATGGATAAATTGTCTCTTCTCAAGTGACCTAAATCTCAATCACCTCTTCAAAGTTTTTAATTCTGAAAGTTTGTCACTAACAAATACATGTAGAGGTAAAAAAAAAAAAAAAAAAAAAAAAAAGACAGATTTATTTTTACAAAATTGCCAATTTTCAGATTGAATGTGGGGGTGGGGAATAATTTTCATTGTTATCATGGCATGAAGAGATCCATGAATTCATATTTTCCATGAAATTTTAGAATTTTAAGACAAAAGTTTCATTATTTTTCTATCACAAGATCAAATTCTCAATAATCACTATTTTTTACCTCAAACTTTGATAATTTGACCCAACAAAAAATTAAAGATTTCGTATTATTATTTTTTAGCTCAGAAGGGCCATATATAGCTTGAAAAGTAAGGATAAGTATTTAAAAAAATGATGACTTACAAATTATCTCTGCATTTTATTGTTATATTCAGGAGGAGCCTCAGCGATCCCAGTCCCTACAGCAGAATGAATCAGAGGCTGCACGTGCGGAACGATTACGTCAGCGACAGCTGGAAGAAATGAGGGTGGCAGAGAGACTGATGGAAGAGATGCGGCGAGTTGAAAATGAGGTGTGTGGTTTTAGTATCATACTTAAGGGTGATTGGAAAAGTTATTGAATAAAACATCAACAGATTTGAAAATAATTAAGTTAAAAGAATTGTTGATGTCAATTTTTTTTTCCTCTTGATAGCATCAAGTTCAACAGGAGAGGGCAAAACGATATACATTAGACAATATAAAATCATTAGATGACATAGAAACACTAACTGTCCGACAAATGAAAGAGGTACTGGTGAACAACTTTGTAGATTACAAAGGCTGTGTAGAGAAAACAGAACTACAACAAAAGGTCACCCGACTGTGGAAAGAACACCAAAATAACAAACAAAAAAGTAGGTTCTTATTTAGGCTCATCTGAGTCATTCGAGTGACATGCATAAACTGCTTTTTCCAAACTGTTGTCGTACATTAAAAAATTCTGCACACTTAAAGTTTCTCTGGGTTTCTCTGTTAAACCCATTTGAATCTACTGTTTGGTCACCTGAGTCACTTAGTTGATATCCCATCCTTTTTTGAATCAATATCAGTCAATTTTGGTACATACTAGTAGCATCTATGGCTGAAAGAGCTGAGAGATGGTGCTAAAACTGTCAAAATTCTAGCAGGCAGACTATTTTTATGAATTTAAAGAGCAGTTAATCCTCTATCAAATCTGTACATGAAATTCATGACCCTCAGGGATCAAGGCACAGGATGGGGCTTAGTTACCAGTTCTATCAGTATCTTGAAAATTCATCATTTTAAAAAAATATCTTCTTACTATTGGACATCTAGCAGACTTAGGAGGTGTTTATTGAAAATAATGAGTTATAAGCCCTCTGCCAAAATGCTAAAATTCATATCCCTTGGTCCAGGTTTAAGACTCCAAGGTAAAAGGAAGTTGATCATATAATTATACATGTATTGAATTTTCTTTCCTGAGCATAGCTGGTACAATTCATGCATTTTGATAATATAAAAATCAGTCCTCACCATATGAGTCCTAAGTAGACAGTTTCAGGACAAGCTAAGTTAGAATATGTCAAGAAAGTCGGGATACTCAAATGACTGCTTATGGGTCCAATGTTCATTGTTATTACAGAACTTGTAACTAAATATATATTCTGACTGTGACATTTCTTTCCATTGCAGCACAAGAAATCATAAATGCATCAGAAAGTGAGTATAACAATATTAATTTTTTTCAAATCATGTATAAAAACTCTATGCTTTTTATTTTGAGAAGATTCAAAACTGCTGTATGTTCCAAGATTCTTTTTTCTTCGTATAAAATTCTTTGTGTCCTTTTCTGAAATAGGAGTAAGATGTGCATGTATATTTTGCATTCTTGAGTAACAGTTATCAAAAGCAATCATAATAAATGACCACTGATAAAGTTTAGTAATGTCCATTTTATTCATGTATTTAAAACTTAGATGCACCAGGAGGAATAGCTACATCAGCTGAAGATGAACTCTGTAAGATTTGTATGGATGCGGCCATTAACTGTGTACTTCTAGAGTGTGGACACATGGTTACATGTACACAATGTGGGCGTCGCCTTGCAGAATGTCCAATCTGTCGACAGAATGTTGTACGAGCTGTCCACATATTTAGGAGTTAACAATAATGTGTTTGTGGTCTTGTGTATTTTACTGTGGCACAATGCTTAGAGGGCCAGAGACCATGTGATATCCATTCATTCATACTGAACGACCAAAAATAAACTTGAAAATAGTCCCATTACCGTGGTGCCATATATATTTATATTTTTTGAAGGATTTGATATTCTGTATTCATTCACTCCTAACAGATTTTCCAGAGCATGGATATTTACATGTACTTTCAACACATAAACATGAGTGGTCTTTGTTATTTTAATGTACAGTCTATAATTTCACTCACTCAGTGTGTGTTTTATATGAGATTATACAGAGTGACTCTATTTACACTTTGTTGCATTTCCGAGTTAATTTTTGATGTGATATACCAGTATTATATGCATTATTTTATGAAAGGTATATGAAATGTAGACACATATTGTATGCTAGTGAGCAAGTGCAAATGACATTGTCTTAACTTCTACGAGATACAAAATTGTTGAATTTTGCAAATTTATAATATCATGCTGTAGGCTGGTTATATATCATTTCCGAAAATAAACTGTCTCTGAATACAGTATTTCAGCAAAGTTTGTTGTATTAAGAATACAACAGTAAGTTTTTGTAAACTTGTACATATACTTTGCTCACAATATTTTTGCAGACATTTTGGTTACAAAAATAATGGCAAAGTACAAGTAGTTTCAGTTTTATATTAATTATTGTAAATTCTTTTCATTTTTTAAACAATAAAATGCTTTCTTTGTTTGTTAGTATGGGAATTAACATTGCAGCTATTGCAGAAAAAATATACAAATTTATAACATGCTTACACATAACCAGCATAAGAGGGTTATGTCATTTTTTTTCTGCAATAGCTGCAACTGTTAATTCCCATACTAACAAACAAAGAGAGGCGTTTTAATGTTTATATTAGGTTTGTATAAATAATCATGTACATGTAAAGGTAGGTTTAAACATGTTAAATTTTGTATCATTGATATGTATGTTATTGTATGTTTCTTGATTGAAAAGCACACTGCACAAGTGAGTACAGGTGGCTTGAAAAACAGTTCTAACCAGCATTAAAGAAGTGGAAAGAAATTAAGGAGAAAATCTTCAGTGGTATAAATATTGTTAAGTAAAATATGTTTTGTAAAGCGAACACTTCATAATGAATTTCTGCTTATAACAGACTTGTTAGTGGGTACCAAAAAGTGCATGAAATTGAAATTAGAAGTATGTTTGTACTGTATTTTGCTATATTTAGTATTTTGGAATATAAATTGTTTCATTTTTATGTAGCAACATAGCTCTGTGACCAGAAGGTGTGTCATGATTAACAAAGGCCCTACAGATCTATTATATCATTAGGTAGAAATGTAGAAAGTTCTGATTTGTTCAGGCATTAAAATTATAGTTTTAAGAGCAAAATACTTAATTAGATATTTTACAACCTTAAACATCATATACAAAGGGCCACAGAATGTGACAAAATTATGGCCCATATGGAATGTGCCTTAGAACAAGTTCCAAGGTTTTGTTTACATGATGTTCACAATGTGTTATAATTTTATAATTTCTCAGTTAAACTTTGTATCTCCGTTGAAGCTAACCAAAGAGCTAGGTTCACTTTATGCATAAAATGGCCCTATCCTTATATCAAGTAATTGACTATCACCCTCTGTCCCATTTCATATATCAAAATAAAGTAGGGACTTTGTTCTTTCATTTCCTGTTACAAAATTTCCTTTTGAGAATCCAGGTATTGAATAACAGTCTAATAGAAAATGCAATTTCTTGAATTTTGCAGAAAACATGTGTATTTGACTATCTTCAGCAAAGAATTAAAATATGAGCACAGCCCACGATCCAAAAATTAAAACATGTTTTATGATCTTCAGAAATAGATCTTTCTTTATGTAATTGCATATTTTGGATCAAAGGTTGTGCTCTATATGAAATATTGAAAAAAATACTGCAATTTTTGGCAATTTTTAAAGGAATTTACAGGATATGGGGAAAATGACGCATTTTATGACGTCATAATGCATTGACTAGAGAGAAAATTACTTCATTTTCAATAGATACACGGTCACCAAGGGTTTAAGTGATAAATACTGCATTTTCAACCAAAACTAAGCAGTTTCGATTTTTCAGTAATTCTCAGGGCCAAAAAAGACCCTAAGTGGCTCTTGCTCTTTGATTCTATGAAGATTTTTTGCAGTTTCTTATCACAAGTATATTTTTGTTGTTTTAGTAATCAAACAAAATAAGAAATCTGTAGCTGGCGTACAGATCCATTGTTCTAATAAGCTACATGTATCAAAGACTAGCTGTATGAATCTGTATTAAAATGAGTAATATATAATTAACAGGTATAGATGGATATACTTGGGTTAAAATGCTCAAAGAAATTAACATACCGGTACAAGTGGAATAGGCAGAGCCTTGGCAATGATGCTTAATCTATAAAGTTTTACAAAACTTTTCCTGTAGTATAATTCTTTTGTGTTTGTGTTGTGCTTTTGTTTACTTTTGTGCTTTAAATATTTCATAATTTATCTTTTAAATAATGAAGCAATCTTTTTATTGTCATTTAATGTATATCCTACATTTTTGTTGAGGGGTGCATATACTTTCTTTTTTTTTTTTCTTTTTCTTTTTTTTTTTTTTTTTTTACAAGTACACATTTCCTGAAAGTTATACTAGAGAGTAGAGCTCAAACTCTTCTGTATTATCAGGGATATGTATACTATGTTAGTATGTAGGTCCCTGGTTACATGTACATTTTCAGTACAATAATTTTGTTCTTTTTATATATGCATGTTACCCAGACTAAAATTTTCATGCAGGCACACAAATATCTTGTTACTGAAGAATAAAAAATCAAAGAATTTTGGTTTGATAATAAAATATTTGAAAACTTAATTATGTTGATATATTTAAACATTTTATACTTCTCTTTATGTCCATTTATAGTTTTAGGAAACTTTAATTAGCTGTATTTAATAATTTAGCCTAAATCCCATATTTTTCTTTAGGGCTACAACTCCTTTACATCAAATGCAACAGTCATTTGCTCCCACAAATATTTTGGCTCAAATCAGAAGTAAATGACTCGAAAAAATGCAAGATATAAATTGATTCAAAAATATGATGAATTTTATGTTCATATGTCAGTTAATCAACTTGAATTCATACGGTATGTTAGCTTTGTATGGTATGAACAGCTGATCTTTGATAAATTTTGTGACTTCCATCAAGAAAACAGGAGCATATCTTTTAGCTTAATGTAGGAATCCCCTTATTATATACATGGAAAATGCTGTAAATATGGGATTTCCATCCAGAATGCATTTATTGATTGATGTTTTAGTGATGTCATTAGGCATTTTTACTTATCTATATATTTACGCCAATATTCCTGAAAACGTCAACAACAAAAATATGCTAAAGGCAACATTATTGCTGCTAAATCTAATGTCCAGAATTTTAATGCTCCCCCCCCCCCCCCATTTTTCTGTCTTCTGTCCTAGCAGTTGTAGAGAATGATTATTTTTTAATTATTCCATTTTTCAACTCCCCTAATGAAGTGTTTTGAGGCAGTTTAACTACCGGTAAAATTATCCATGTGATTATGGATTGAAAGTGTTTTTAGCTCACCTGAGTTGAAAGCTCGGTGAGCTTTTCTGATCACATTTTGTCCAGTGTCCATCTGTCCTATCTGTAAACTTTTCACATGTGTTTGTGAAACACTGATGCCCCCGTATGGCAGCTTATGGTGAAGGTTAAAGTTTCTCAAATGCAAGTCAAACTGAAGGTCAAGAGATCAAAAATGTTTGTACCCAAAGAAAGGTCTTGTCTCGAGGAATATACGTGTGAAATTTGAAAGCCCTAGCTTGAACTGTTAAAAAGTTACGGCGAAGGTTAAAGTTTTTCAAAAGTAAGAAAAACGTCAAGGTCAGGGTCAAATGGGGCCCCAAGGGAAGGTCTTGTCACAAGTGATACACATGTTCGTGAAATGTGAAAGCCCTAGAACCAAATGTTCACATGTTATGGCCAAGGTTAAAGTTTTTAGCTCTTCTGAGCCAAAGGCTCAAAGAGCTAATGCTATGGCCATTTGTGCGGTGTGCGTAAACTTTTTAGAATATGGGCCATAACTCAAGAACCCCTAGGCCAATTATTGTCAAATTTGTTACAGGGTATCCTTGGCCCAAGGGCTCCCTTTTATACTAAAACTAGGGTTGTGACCCTTAAACAAGGGGAGATAATTAGGAAAATAGAAAAAAAGTACTGGTTGCTAAAAAATCTTCTTCTCAAGAACCACTGGGCAGATTATCACCAAACTTACACAAAAGGATGAGGATATGTTGTAGATTAAAATTTGCACGGGGATTTAGCCTTGGGCAAAGGGCGTGGTCTCAAGGTCACTTCAAAGTTGACCAAAAATTACATTATATTAAAATGTTGATATTTTGTTTACTATAAGGACTAGGATCATCAAATCTTGTCAGTTGATGCGTCTAAGGACCTCATATCATGTTGACTCAAAAGTAGGTCACGGTGACCTACTTTTTAAATTTTGCAGCCATTCTTTTTCAAAATGATTTAAAGGCATATTTTGAACAATTTAAGGCCTGTGATCATCAAAGTTTGTCAGTTGATGTACCTTGGGTCCTCGAAGTACGTCAACTAAAAAGTAGGTCACCTTGACCTACTTTTTGAACTTTATGGCTAATCTTTTTCAAAACAATTAAGGTCATTAATTTGAATACCGAGAGGTTTAGAATCATTAAATCTTGTAAGATGATACATGTTGGGACCATAAAACATATTTATTAAAAAGTAGGTCAAGTAACCTACTTTTTGAACTTTGCAGGCATTCGATTTCAAAGCGTTTTAGAGGCATAATTTGGACATTTTAAGGCTTATGATCATAAAACTTTGTCAGTTGATGCATCTTGGGTCCTAAAAAAAAATCATTTGAAAAGTAGGTCACCCTGACCTACTTTTAAATTTATATGACTATAATTAAATATTTCAGGTACTATTTGGCTTAGAATCATTAAACTTTGTCAGTTGATGCATCTTGGGTCTTCGGAGTAGGTTGACTGAAAAGTAGGTCACCGTAACCTCATAACTTTTGAAAATTTATGGCTTTAATTAAATATTTCAGGTACTAATTGGCTTAGAATCATCAAACTTTGTCAGTTGATGCATCTTGGGTCTTCGGAGTAGGTCGACTGAAAAGTAAGTCACTGTAACCTACTTTTGAAAATTAATTGCTTTAATTAAATATTTCAGGTACTAATTGGCTTAGAATCATCAAACTTTGTCAGTTGATGCATCTTTGGTCTTCGGAGTAGGTTGACTAAAAAGTAGGTCACCATGACTTACTTTTGAAAATTTATGGCTTTAATTTAAATATTTCAGGTACTAATTGGCTTAGAATCATCAAACTTTGTCAGTTGATGCATCTTTGGTCCTTGGAGTACAACAGCTGAAAAGTAGGTCACGGTGACCTACTTTTTAGCTCACCTGAGCCGAAGGCTCAAGTGAGCTTTTCTGATCAAAATT